TGTGGCTACCGGGCAATAGCGTGGGTTCTCCCTTGAATATCCCGCAGAAATGGGTCGCAAAAAAATATCATTTTTGAAACTGATTCCTGTTCTTCGCCAGTAGCTGTGTGAGTGGCGATTTTCTTGGGATCTATTCTTCATTACTGCCGAGCGATGGTGAGTCGTTGTGGTCTGGTTTCTGGACTCCTGGTACCTCTATAAGCTCCTGTAGATAAGTCCAACCCTATAAGCGGCGTTGCAATCGCCGCACGTACGATCAGTGAATGGTGCGCTGTAAGTTGGGTTGGAACCAACTGATCTTTTCAAAGAAAAAAAGCCGATTCCTCATTCGTAAATTTTGATAGAGAGGAGAGGTGACCGAATTTGGTCCACGAGTGGTTTTATCTGCCTTCCAAATGATTTATTACTCGCCACAGGATCCTTGATCCCATCCCCTAAGTGTTGGCAAGTTGGGAAAACGTAGAAGGACGATAAGCAGAGCAGAGATGGGGTCGCACCGGGTGAGGAACTTTTGGGGACGATCGTACTGACACCACTATTTCTCCCATGAAGACGCTGTGCCCTGTCCAGTAAAACGCCTGGGCACTTCAAGCAAACGACTTCGACGAAGTTTATCAGAGGACAAGCTTGTCTTCTGTCGTTTTTGTTTACATAGAGGAATCACGTGCATGACAACTGTGCAACTGTGAAGTATGAGTTCCCTAGAAACAAAGAAAAATTTTGTTGTTTACCTTGTCGTCTAGTTTTGTGTATTTATCAAGGAAACTGCGGAAAAACGACTGGGCAGCGAGATTCTCCGGCTTCAATGATGGTACCCCCATTACCTGCTTGGTCATCTAAAATGATTTTAGTTGGTATAGATCAGTTCCAGATGCTAAAGAAATTATCAACGAAACTTACGTCCATGAAGAACTTCTTTCCTCCCGCGCTAAGGTTTTCAACATCTAACCCGCCGGATGCAGGGAAGGCAAAACATGCTGACATGGTGAGCAGGACCAACACTGATGATTGCCACATCCTGGAACAATAGCATGGCTGTATGATTACAAAAGTTGGGAAGACATCAAAAGAACATGACGAAGAGTGAATGACGCATGGTGACTCCAGATGTTGCTAGCATGACCTTCTCCCACATGTCACAAAACAGTATACAGAGTATTGTTAGCCAAACTTTTGCGCTCTATAGGTTCGTTCACAGAGAATGACTTATTCATCGGTCTGACGCCTAAAGTTGACTATTCTCCACTGATTCCTTGAGAACGTGCTCTTCCTTTAAGAACGCACTGCCCGGCTGTAACAGCGAGAAATTTTCTGCTTCAGCTCACTGGGCAAGCCAGCAGCCTTGAGGTCCACCCGTCTTCTTTGTTTAGACTATCTACAATCTACGCCTGGACGCGTTCAGACTTTAAAAGCATTTCGAGCGCTCCCGCAGCGTCAGCCACCTAAAAGGAACGTCTTGGTTGTTGATCTGGTGTAGGCCACCGTCTACCAGCGCCTACTGGCATCCTCCAGCGTGCTAGCGTCTCGAGGGTTCGAGGGCTGGGGAAGTGTAAGTAACGGTCTGGCGTCTGCCAGCTTCCGCCAGCGAACGGGAATAGAAAGTTTTGTGGAGGGTAGCAAATAGCTGGATTAGCAGTGCCCCAAATTGCGGCGTGTGCAACCGCACCGTACTAATACACTACAGGGGGCCAAAAAAGTCACTTTGACCAAGTCACATATCAGCAAAGTTTTTCGCAGCCCAGTCAGGATGTGGATACGAGTACCAGGGGAGAAGATACCCAAGATGTTCCTCGATAAGCAGGAGCTGGCTCTCGCCCATCACCTTCATGTACACCAAAATATGAAGTCATCTCCAGTCGCAGCCTGACTGGAGAAGACCTTTGGAATTCATGTCACCTCCAAACAGCTGCGAAACTTCTAGTATGGAGTCACCCATGGATAGCTACCTGGAGACCAGTACTCTCGATCTGGATGACCTCCAACATCGAGCAGCTCCGACAACGTCGCTACGGTCTAGGACATCATCTTCACCCCACCATAGGCAGACGCGTTAGTGGTATGGACCGCGACGAACCTGGAAAGGCAATCCTTTCTTCGTGGATCCCGGATGAAAGGTGAGCGCTGCGCGGCTTACATTGGGCAACTTCGTGATACGAAATATACTACCGTTACATGTGGTCGCCGCTTACCTTTCTTTGGAAACCTTCTACTGCCACAGGTTTGCGCTGCCACCCCATGGATCGAACGTGCTTGCGCAAAAACTCTCGCCTACTTACAATGCGAAGCGGGCGATTTAGCTACCTGAAAAAGATGCAAATCTAAGTGATGTCCTCTGACCTAACTCTCTCAATTACCGGGGTTCGCGCGAAGCCTCAATCAAGGGCGCGTCCTACAGTGCGGCCCCGAGAAATTAACTATCTCGCTGAGCACTTACCCACTCACGTGGGTGCAGAATCTCTCGACGGCCGCTCCGTCAGAAGCTTGTATCGGAGCATTCATGATGAGCATTTGATATGCTCTTTATGATGTGCGCTATTCATGGCTCCGATCAGAGCTTCAATAAAGTGTAACTTATAACGCCTCGAACGTTCAGCGTAGAAGGAACTTTTATTTTGCCCCCCTGTACATCATACATTAAATTGCATAACTCTGTTTCTTCAGTAGTTGTGCGATGCGGTTGCGCATGCCGCAATTTCATGACGCCTAATCCGGCTCGTTGCATACCCCCCACTTAGCTTACTCCTCTACCGGCTGCGGTGAACGCTGGTGGACGCTGCGCAGACGCCATAGATCACATAGCCTACGACTTTCTATTTGCTGACGCTATCGGATCCTCGGAACGCTAGTGGACGTTGGTAGACGCTGGTGGGCGCTGCCATGAAGTATGAACGCAGCCTAAGCTTATCATACCACATTCGGTTGAGTGCTATGTGAATCGAGGATCTAGAAGAGGAGAGAGAGAGAGAGAGAGAGAAGAGGGAGAAGAGAGAGAGCTGAGAGAGAGAGAGAGAGAGAAGAGAGAGAGAGAGCAGTGTCAAACATGGCGTCGAGAAGAATTTCTCCCTCAATGCGACCTCCATATTTCCTCCAACGATACGACCCCAGAAAATCCGCAGAGCACAGGATGAGATGGACAGCACTATCAACTCCTAACAGTATTCGAATTGTCGCGCTGCCGACTTGGAGGGGTATGAGGATTCCCAGCGCGCGGAAGCTGGATGGAAGTCTGGTAAGAAAAACAAAGAATTACGGGGTGGTTATAAAGTAACCACACAAGTGTCGACCACAGAAGCTGTCGAGGTCGGAGCCAACGCCGAATATTCATTCTTAGATTATTTATCTTTAGTTCTTCAGTTCTGACGATTTTTCGGTCGAAGGAATCCCATTAGTGACTCACTACTCTAATGACTGTAGTAGAGAGAATAAGAAGATTCGAGTCTGATTCGAAAATCAGTCGGGTTCAAACAATCGTGAAAGAGCGCCAGGCTGGCCGAGCCAAGAATAAGAGCTCGGTTGAGAATAGTTTGCCGTTTTAAGGGGAACACAATGATCTTGTAACAACGTGTGGTCTTAAAAAGGCTTCGGAGGTGCGGCGACGAGTTGGAATTGAGAAGAGGAGAGCCTTTTTGGGACATTAACTACTTGTTGGACCCATGTTGAGGTCATCGAAGACGAAGAAATGTTCGAACGCCTCTAGAATAAACTGCCCAATAACCCGATGGCCAAGTCGCATCGGCGCAGTGGAGTTAGGCAGTGCCAAGATCTGAGGAGGGACAAATCTTACTGTTAGCCCAATTCATCCAACGCCCAAAGCTGGAGCAACACGGAAAGTAGCTCACTTTACCAAGATGGAAAATGTTACTAGTACAAGGGTGCATAATTCTGTACTGGAGTCTTTTGCTGACATCGAGACGGACCCGGTGTATATTAGATCTCAAAGCGGACCCAGACTCGTTTCGTCCGAGCAGCGTTGTTTTCCATGAGTCAGGACAGGAAAACTAAGCTTTGGTTCAATCTTCAAGCTTCTGCTCTGCGATAACTAAGTACTCTACTATATTATCGAAATAAGGTAAAAATGGCAATGAGCAAGGTGGAGT